GGGGGGGTTCTTTGCAATTGTGTTATTTTTACATTAATGATTCTTTCAAGTTAGTTGTAAGATTACCCACATAGAACCGTAGAACAGGCTCGTTTGTCTTCTGCCAACAGGTAAATAACAAAATCTTAACACAGCAGATTAAGTAGCTCTAGAGCAGAACCTCAATGCCTTCTCACCTAGTCTTTGGTTCCACTTCGAACTAGATATTTTCTTTTTTCTTTCTGTCTTGTGCAATGTGTAATAATTTTGTATATGTTTTTTCTAATGTTTAATGACCTCTTCCTTTTTTCTTTTTTTTTTCTTTCTCAATATATCTCTCATTCTCTTCTGTCAGCCCTACTGTCAGCAGGTGCTAAATCCTGATAAATTAAAGCTCTTTAATTATTTAAACCCTGGCCCCAGAAATCAGGTGCAGTGATTTATACCTGTGTGTATGAGACATGCGGGGGAAGAAACAACACTCGGTGCTGATGGATGACCACTGTGTGTGTGTTTGTGTGTGAGCGGGAGGATTTAAACAGAAAGCACTGTTCACAGCGCTGCGAAAACCGGACGTGCCCAGTTGTCATAATCTGGCTATGAGCAAAAGCTGTGTATTAGTGGAGGGGAAACAAACTTTGGATGAAGGAAGGCAAGCTTTCTGCAAACCTTTGTTTGTACATTTGAAGTCAAGCCAGGGTCGTGTTATAACGACAAAGATCTCACAGTGTGGTTTTACATGTATGTGTAACTTCATGATGAAACTCGGGGCTCTTCAGTGTACATTGTCCTCGGAGAGAGAAAACCCTCTCATCTCTCCTCCCTTTTTTTTTTTTTTTTTTTTTTTTTTTTGTTTCTTTCATCTGTAATTACTGTAGCTAAATGATATTACGGCTTTACACCTAGCTCTACTGAGAATCTCATCCACCAAACTTCTTGATGTCACCCCCCGTTCTTATCCTTTCTTCTCGTTACGTTTCCCCCAATCAGGTTTTTGCTCCTGGCAGATAGAGGCGTGATGTTAGCTGTGAGAGAACTAACGAGATACTCGAGTGCTTCTGGGCAGGAAGGAAGTCGAGCTGAAAAACATGGCAGGGAGAAGTCTTTCTTGTCTGTTTGGTGGCGCAGCTTAAAAGGGAGAGGGGGGCCAAGGTGGGGAATAGGAAAAAGGGAAGAGAAGTGAACACATTGAATAAAAATTTCATAAAGTTCAGTGTGTGGTTTCTTTGATGCGAGCAGTGGATGGTGCGTACAGTCTGCAGGCTCTGTAGAGGCAGCAATTAATGCTACATGTGCCCAAAGGCAAACTGTGAGAGGTGTGGGGACGGTGGCTCGTTTTATGTGTGTCGTACCATCACTATACCCGAGACATCTCTTTGCTGTCTTTTGTTTTCATTCACTGTATTGTAAACCTTCTCTTTCACCTGAACACTGATTAAAAAAAAAAATTGCTCCTGAACTTGTATGAAGTCCATATTGTTCATGCCTGGTAGCTGTCTAAATTGTTTTCCCCACACCAGTGACACTTGAACGCAGCAAATTCAGCCAGCAATTTTGTGACATCAGTGAAATTGCACTCTTTTCAGACTTTCACTTCATCTTGAAACCCATCTGTAGAAAAAGGGGCGAAGCAAGACTTGATCTGTTTGCTTTTTAGCACGATTTAATGTTTTAACAGACTCGGAATGATGGGTTTCATCCAGTTTTAGGGTTTTTTCAAAACCCTAAAACTGTGTGTTTTGCCCAAAAAGTTTTGTTCAGAGAAAAAGAAGTGGTAGGTAAGGTTCATCACCTTGTTCTTTTGGTGGAAGATATAGCATATAGAGTGACTACATATGTAGCGGTCACTTTTAAAAAATTGTTTTCTAACATTACATGTAATGTGTTTCTGGGTGACAACAGACAGGAACTCCTGAAATGCCTGGAAAGTTCTGTCTTGGTCTGTTTCCCTCTCAGTTTTGCTGAGGCAGGTATCTCTGATGAGGTGCGGGGCATGTGAGGAGAGTACTGGGAGTTTGTTCACCGAAATATTCCTCAAAGTCAGGAGAAACAGGAAGAGCGGGAATCCTGCCACCCGGGTGCTGCAGCTCAGCAGGTCGGTCCTCTCAAATGTTTGAACAGAAAGTGCCAGTGGGCTTCCCCGACATCAATACTGGTTCTACACCAACTCATCTTCCGCTTTTAAACTCTTAACAACCGACCCCCTACCCCAACCAGACACACACACGCGCGCACACACACTTCTTGTCTTGATAGCCTAAGAGCATCGAGTCTTAACTTTGATTTAATAATGCCTGCAACCAACTTGGCCCTGTATCAGCTTAAGTGAAACTTGCATATCTTGTCTGTGCGCATGTTCTATTTTTGCGCCCTGACTTTTGCCAGTGTTATGACAGAGGTACTTGTAAGAATTGTAAGAACAACATAGTTTATCTTTATTATTGTCTCTTAAAGACTGCTGTGAACTTTATTTTTCTTTTATGGGAAATGTAATTCAATATACCACAAGGAAAGAACAGTTTTTGCATGTATTTTGTTTATCCAAGCAAAAGTTTTGTAATTTTTTTCCGAAGCTACTGTATGTCCTTCCCTAAATGTGGCTGCAAAAGCATCGTGGAAAAAAAGCCCTTACATTAGTTTTAGGAGCCCCTGTAAAAGCTTGGAAAGTTCTGAAAAATCACTGTTTCTGCAGAAATATTCTCCTGGAAGTGAAAATGAATATGAAGCATGTTGATATAACTATCAGGAGAATTGCTAATCATTGCTTCCTCATTTATTTATTTATTTGAAATTCACACAGCCGCTGTACTAATATTTGAAAGTTAAGTCCTCTAAGGTGTTTAAAAAAGAAAAAAAAAAGCAGCAGGGTGGGCAAAATCCCTGGTGTGTATGTGTGCATTGATGTCACAGTGGAGTATCAGGCCAAGTGAGGCGATCTGATCTAAATCTTACCCCCCCCCCCTCACACTACCATTTTAGACCAACTAAGATGTGTGGAAGAGAGTGAGGCCCAAGGCTATTATTCTCCCATTAATTTTTCCATTTGAAATCAAACCTCAGCGGGCATGCAAGAGGGAATCAGAGGAGGGGGGAGAGGACTACAGTGGGGATAACCTTATCAGGATTGGGGGAGTGTGTGAGGGGGACAAATGTTAGTTGTAGCAGTATTAATGTCCAATAGGGGAGGCAATTTCACTTTCAAAGCAATGCTTGTTATTAAAGTGTCTGCCCACTTCTTCTTCCATGGTCCAGAATGGCCCGTGGGAAAACTGCATGACATTAAAACATTGTTTTTTAGCTCTATTATGAAAACCCACAGAAACATAACTTTGATTATTTTGATTGGGTGGGGTTTTTTGTTGTTGTTTTTTGTTTTAAATCTGATATTTTAATCTGTCCATCTAACTGTCACTGCTACAAAAAGAGACACATCTGTACAGTCCAGTAAATCCTCTCAATTCAATTAGGATTTCTCAGTTCTCTTCCATTTTCTTTTACATCATTAATTTCATACAGCACATTTTGTATCTTTACAATGCCTCATCACATGCCTACATACTGGGGAGACCTGGTAACCTCCAGTCCTCCATCCTACCTACCCACACAAGCACACACCTCCTCGACCTGACACTTCCTCTTCAAACCTCTTTCAGTTCCACTCATTTCTCTCCCCCCCTCTTCTTTCTTTATAAAAGCGCCAGTGCTTGCTAATCTGTCAATCAGATGTTGTCCTGTTGTGGCGATGATGGGGGTCCGTGACGGTGTTCCACACACCTCCTGCAGCTCGCAGCTCGGCGAGTAGCTCGATGATTAACCAGGCAGGTACTGAGTCAAACTGCTGACAGCATAAACACACTGACAGCTGATTTGAAAGACAATGCTCCCACTCCCTCCACTTAACTTGTCATGGCAGTCAAAGCACCTTCTCACTAAACTTGTGGCATATTAGGCAAAGATGGAGGGAAACACTGATTTATAGCATCACACTCATAAATGGTCACACATAAACAAAACAAAAAAGAAATACTTATAAGCATTTCCAAATATTCATAAGTGCTTATGTTTGCACAAAAAATATGATCAATTATTTAAATTATAAAGAACAACTAGTGAATAGTTGATAACTGTAAAAAGAAAAATGCAACTACCAGGGAAAGATTTTCACATTTCCTATTTTAACTGTATCTTCAAAAGTGAAGGCCAGAAAGAGCAGCACAGCATTTCCTTGTCTCTCCCGGATTAATAGTCCAACACTTCCCAATTATTAACCATGTCTGTTTTGTACCATTCATATTCAAAGCTATTTGCCTCCCTACACTTCCTGTGCTTTGTATTCTGAGTCTTTACAGGAGGGAATGGACGATCCAGGCAGATCTGTCACTCAAACCGCAGCCCCCGACCACCAGTCGCTGCCCAACAAACTGTCGTCCATATACCTCCATCGGCTCCGGTACCTCCTCGGCTCAATGAGTAACTAACCTGCAGGTAGTGAATCAAACTGCTGACAAGCACATGAAGGGGACCAGAGGGGTGGGGAGAAGGGGACTGTGTAGGTGGATTGATAGAAAGATGAAAAGGGAGGGGAGGATAGAGATGACAATGGCATTATTTCATAGCCCACCTTGGTGACGTAACCTTTAACTTTGCATAAAAAGATGAGTCCCTTTCCTGTTGGTCCAGCCACACTTTTTCCCGTTTTCGCCTCATTTCCCCCCTCTCGCTTCTCTAAGTGGCAAGCTTTGATGGGCTGTCCCTGTCTCTCATCTTGTCTTCTTAGACAGATGAGTGCTGTCAGTGCTGTCATCACTGCCCAGCTAAACATTAATGACTCTCTTGCCTGACAAGTGTTGGCGGGGCAGAGAAGAGGTGAAAG